CTCTCTGCGACGGTGCGCGCGCTGCTGGCGGGCAGGAGGCAGGAGGGGGACGAGGCCGAGGTGACGCCTTCCGAGAGGCTGCCCACGGCCGCGCCCACACACCCGCGTGCCGCCTGCCGGCCAGCGCCTCGCCAGCCACCGCCCAGACGCGTTCTGACTGTTGCCGCTCCCGCCGACACCCCTCAGCCTCTCTGGCCGCCGCCGCCACCACCGACTCCCCTCCGCCTCCGCGCGCCGGCCTCACCCCCTGCCTGACGACCCCCCCCCCCCCCCCCCCCCCCCCCCCCTAGGCTGTGGTCCCGCCGATGTCGCTGGACCTCGTCGAGCTCGAGGAGAACTTGCGGCCGGCGCGCGTGGGCGGCTGGAAGGGAGACGAGTGCCGGAACCGGCCCCGAGGGCTCTCGGAACCTCCCTATCAGGCGCGCGAAGCAGAAGACAAGGCCGAGCTCGAGGCGGCGGCCTGGTGTGTTGCCGCTTCCGCCCTCCTCGCCGCCGCTCTCCCCCCTTCCACCTCGCTCCGCGCCGCCGCCCTCTCTCCTCGCCGAGTCGTTCAACGCTGCCATTCTGCTCTCCGCCGCCCGCCCCTCTCCACCGCAGTTCTCCTCACCGCCCGCCCGCCCTCTCTGATCCCCGCAGCCTCGCGTCGACCCTCCTCGTCCCGGGGTCCGCCGACGCAGCCTCCGGCAAGGGGTCGGAGGAGCTGCGCACGCTGCACTTGCAGCCAGTTGGGCAGGGCGCGGCGCAGGGCGCTGGGCGGGCTCGGAGCCTCTCGAGCCCTTACAACACAGGGGGGTCGGTCTCCCGAGAGGCCTCCCCCGAGGACGAGAAGGGGCCCGGCGTGCCGTGGGCCCTCCAGCTGCCGCCGTCGCCCGAGTCTGACCAGACTCGGCGCCGCAGCCGCGGCTACTCGGAAGGCGCCAGGGTGGTGTCGAGGGCGATCACCCCGCGGGCGGGCACTCCGCGGGCGGCCGGGGCGCCGGCGGCGGCGGCAGCCGCCGAGGCGGACGCGAAGGAGCCTTTGGACGACCTCTTATCGCTGGCGGCCAGCTGGGCGGTCCAGTTGCGCGATTTGTGGAACCGCAACGTCGAGTGCTACCAGTTTCCGGTGCCGCCGGAGCCGAAGGTGCCGCGCGGGTACTTGGTGTTTGCGGAGCAGAACGGCGGCTGTTTTGAGCTGCGGTGGAGCGTCGACAAGCCGGAGGCTCGCACGCTCGCACGCGTGCCGAGCCTTCCCTTTGCTTGCTCGGAACCTTCTCGGAACTGGCCCGTAGGGCGCGCTTGCTGCTTTCACCCCAAGCCAGCCGGTGCCCACTTTCAAGCTGACGAACAACGGCGGCCGGTCGGAGCTCTGCCGGGCGGTGGGGGACACTTCCAAGACACTTCCCCGCGCCGCCCCTCGCTACTCACGCGCCGCGGCCTCCGCCTCCTGCCGCGCCTCGCTGAGTCGGCACACGCACATCCCTGTGTGTGTGTCTTCCCGCTGCTCCGCGCGCGCAAGACTCGCCCTCGTTCCGTGCTCTCGACGCGCCCGCCCACGGGTGCTGTGCAGGTCGGCGGCCCGAACGTGAAGAAGTTCTACCGCGGCTGGCTGCAGTACATCAAGCTTGCGGCGCAGAGCGGCGCGCGGCTCGCGATCCACTCCAATGTCGCCAAGCAGCCCGTCGCGATCTACGTGATGCTCAGGGGCGACTCCACCATCGTGCCGCTCAAGGTGGGGGGGGAGGCGGTGCCGCTCGGTGGCGTCTTTGCTGTGGCCGTCGTTGGTGCGCGGAACGACGGCCTCCGCGGCGTGCGCCAGCTCGAGCCGCAGGTCTTTTTGTCGATCGGGGACAAGATCGGCGCATCGATGCCGCTCGGTGAGAGGTAGGTAGAGTCCATCCACGTCGAGTACTATGCGTGGGGCGGCGAGAGCGGGTGCATGGGGCGCGCGCGGCGCGGCGATCAGCATCGTGGCCAGCCTTCGTCGCGAGCGGTTCGCCGGCCGGAGATGCGTCTTGATAATGGGAGATGACTCGCTGATCCGGAGAGGCATCCTCTCTAGTCTCTGGAGGGGAGAATTGGTTGAGAGATTTGGTCGTGGGTGGCCGCGCGTCGGTAAAGGACGACGCGCGGACGTGTTTTGTACGGGCTACGGCATTCCTTGTATCTCTCTTACTCTTGGTCTTGAGCCGGCTCCGGCTCAGGTCGTGGGGCATAGCTCGGGTGTAAACGGGGTCTGGGGCGGGAGCCCCAGCCGGGGTCTGGGGCGGGAGCCCCAGCGGGGTGCGGGGCAGAGCCCCGCGAAGAAAATTTTGACGATTCTTAGCTCAAAATACACAAGATCTCCATCCTAAATCGCAATCTCTACGAGCATCGATCGAGGATGAAGCGCTCGTTCCCAGTGGGGATCTCCCACAGCTGATCGGGCGGGTCGGCGCGCTGCGTCTGTACGCGCCGTGCGATGCCTTGGAGCGCGACCCGACCGGACCGTCGCACCACATCCAAAGCGGCGCCGCCACCGAGCGGCGCAACCAGCTGCATCTCCACGTTGATCATGCGCAGCTCGGACGAGTTGAAGGTGAGGACTGCGGGTCCCTCTGGCGCGGCGCCCTCCGCAGCCGCGCCTGCCTCGGCGGCGCCTCGCCCCCCGCGCCTACCGCCACCACGCCCGCGTCCCCCACCGCCGCTGCCACCACGCCCCACAGCAGCAGCAGCAGCGGGCGTGGTGTCGGCGCCGGGGCGCCACGCCTTGAAGATCCGCCGCTCGTCGCCACCGCTCACGTCTCGATCGAACCACTCGACCTCGATCTCCATATCGCCGGGATCGTAGCGCACCCTCCCGCCTGTGCCTGCGACGCTGCCACCCGTCTGAAAGGGAGGCCTGAGAGCGACGGCGCGGCCGATCCAATACTGGTCCGGGTCGTCCTCGCCGCGGTTCTGCACCGCAACCCACACCGCGTTCGTGCTCTTCGCAAAGTGCGCCTTCAGCTGATCTCGGAGGGATCTAGAGAGCTGGCGGGTACGGGCCTTGGAGGAGGCTACGCCGGCAGCGTCCGAGCGCGCCACGCTGGTCTCCCTCCACCGCAAGCCCGGCGACGAGCAGCCGTGGCAGCGGTAGTTGGAATCCATGGTACCCTCGCCAGGAGCCGACGCCTGCATGCACGCGTCGCACCAGCACGCGAACGGCCGCTGAAGAGTCACGCCCTCACGCACGGGCATGAAGAGGAACGTCTTCTTCATGCCGGGCATCGACTCAAAGTCCTGTCCGACGGGGCGGATGATCTCAGCCGTCGGTGTGTACGACACCACGACCTCATTGATCGTCTTCTTGAAACGCCCTGCGCCAGCAATGGGGCAAGTTCGAGGCGCTGGTCGGCGTGTCCACGGCGACCTCCAACGCGACTCCCGAGTCTCTTCTCCAGTTGTGCGCCAACTCGGAACACTCCGTGTTCGTGATCATGGACGAGAAGGGCAATAAGCTTTTCGAGCTGGCCGACGCATACAGTAAGACACAGGGCGCAAACGCAAAGACCCTCCTCGAGCTCATGAGCGGCGTGCCTCAGAAGATCCAGCGCGGCGGGATCACTGGAGGACCCACGCCGCGAAGGGAGGGTGGCGGCCGAGCCCACAGAGCGAGAGAAACGCCCCTTATCCGTTAGGCCCTGAGGAGCCTCGCCGGCCGTTGCACTGCGAGCCCCCGCCGGGCTTCGCTGACGGTGACATCCTTGAGGACGGCGTCAAGGGTGACGATGAGGGCGATTCCAGCCTCTCCGCGGTCGCTGCGGCCCACGGTGTTTCTGCGGCCCTCGGTGGAGCCGCCCGGCCGTCACTCACCACCATGTGGGACGATGCGATTCCCTCATCGACTCACCGCGCCACACCCTCCCTGTTCACAGGGATCGAGGAAGAAGAGCCCGACGACGAGTCCGACGGCGAGCCCTGCGGCGAGTCGCAGGAGCCGGATGGCGGCAACGGTGGTGAGACCGACCCCGAGTCCAGCCACGACGAGTCGTCCAACAACTCGTCGGACGAGTCGGACGACAACGATGAGAGTGGCGACGACGACCAGTTGGCTCGTCTCAGCGCAACTCCCCCGCACAAAGGACGGAAACAACCATTAGACAGTGGTGGAGGGCACTGCCTGGCCCTGGGCAGCCCGGGACCAAACCACCCCTCACACCCGGCGCATGCCCGCCGCCGCATGCGGGGGCACCGTCTTGACGAGGAGCTCGCTCGCCAGGAGCTGCTGGTTCTCGAGCCGCTGAGGCCACGAGAGGTTGCTGTAGCAGCGGTCGCCCAAGCAGCCGGGATTCTTCAGCGGGGCGCGCACCTGCGCCACCATCTCCTCAAATGCGGGCGTCTTGACGAGTTGCCGCTCGCTATCGAGGTAGGCCACTCGCCGGCAGCGGTACTGGTAGCTTGTACCGGAGTGCGGGTCAAACTTGGAGCGGTAGTCCACCCTCACCAGATCTTGCGACGAGTCAAAGGCGACCTTCTCGCCGTCGGGGCCCTTCAGGGTTTCGCTGGCAGACGGGGCGTAAAAGAATCCAGCCGCGCCCGCCATGCTCAGCCACTTTCCACTCTTGCTCACGTGCAAAATCATGGGCGGCTGGCATGGAGCGCAGCATGCGAGGCAGGCGCCCCAGATGGTCGTGTCTCTTGCCCAGTTGGTATCCAGGCGCTTGGTAGCGACGGCAGTTGCCCTTCCGGTGGCGCCTGGCTCCAGTCTGCCTCTTGAAGCGTGATGAGGAGCTCGTTGACGACATTGTCTTGCATCCAAAAGACACCGCGGTACCGGTCCGGGCAGGCTTCGGGCGAGCCGCCCGAGAGCATTCGCCGCCAGACTTCGTCGTCGCTGTGCAGGATGTCCAAAGTCTCGAGCCCTCCGCAGCCTTTGAGCGAAGCACCGCAGCAGGCTGCGCACGGCGCACAGGTTGGCGTCCGGTGAGAGTACCAGTTGCATATCCCGATGAGGCCGCAGCACGCGTTGAACGGCGTCTGCGACGGCGAGAGCTGCGGCGGCGCGTACAGTCCGTCATCCGGGAGGACCGGGTGCTTCTCGTCGAAAGCGATGAGGAAGCTGGGGTCCCAGATGTCGCGGACCTGATTCACGATCCCACACGCCATGGTGCGGACGTAGGACCCTTGGAAGGACCTCAGACCTCAGAGAAATTGGGCGCGAAGTGCCTCGAAAGAAAAAATCTCACGGTTATGTGGGCGGAGACATGCTTTTGGGCACGCCCTGCGAGCGGGGCGGGTTGCGCACTGACCCTCTGTGTTCGTGTGCGTCGCCCATCTCTCCCTGGAGATCACTGCTCTATTTATTTATTTATGCTTTTGGGCGCCGCGAGAGCAACAACGTGAGTGTTAGATTTGTTTGGTATTGCTAAAAATCTCTCCGCGAGAGGGCGCGGCTGGAGGCGCGCGAGAGAGGCGAGCGGGAGAGAGGGGAAAGGGAGCAAAACAAGCAGGCTGGTGTAAGAAAACAATCCCGCGTGCCGCGTCTCTCAATGGGTACCTCTTAGCAGGAGGATGTACGCGCGAAGAGAGATGAGGAGCAGCAGGGACCCGAGGGACCATGTGGAAGACGGCTAGTGCTAGTCCCCCATCGGGAGGACGACCCCGGCTAGTCGCCGACCACACCCACAAAGAACCTTCCACAAAGATCGCAAGGGCGGGGGCCTGTTCCTTTTTACCCATCTCACAGTAGAGAGGTGTCCGTTTTTATTTATTATTTAATGGGTACCTTATGGCTCCCGGGGGTAAAGACAGCGCTGTTGGTCAGGATACGCTGCGAAGAGAGCGATGCTGCGCCGAGAGGCGAGAGCGACAAGACCTTGAGGCCCGCATTCAGCACTGCGGATCAAGCATCATGCGGACACGACAGCGTGCACGCCGAGCGTATGGAGCACCTCTTCGCAGTGCCCAGCGCGCACCTGGTCAGCCAGCGTCGCTGCGAGCAGATCACGGAACGAGTCAGAGCTCTCGACCACAACAGGGTGTATTCTGTTCTTTTTGAGCGACATTGCCGATCGCCTGTGAGCAGATCGTAGCCGGGTCGTGGCCGATTCTTCAGGGACGACCTAACTGTAGTGCGCGTCGGGCTGGTGGTTCGACACCGAGACGTTTTCCAACGGACGACATCGTTTTAGCTTCTTAGGTTAGACCCCCTTCCCGGACCCCAACCCTGTGCGCAGGAAGCATTGCGCCGGCCTTTTTCTTTGAGAGCGCCTTCGTTGTTAAATAGAAACAGGAGGCATTCCTCGCGTTAATTAGTGTCAGCTCCGCACACCACCCACTCCGGCTCCCAGCCGACCGACCGGGCGGCGAGCAGGAGGAAGAGCAGATGCTGAGCCGATTCTTTTTAGTGCCCAGTCCCTAGGATTTTAAATGATTGGTTTGAGCGGCGCCCCCTCGCCCCTCCTGGGGCTGTGGGCGAGAGCCTGAGAGCGAGAGAGAGTTGTTTTTGTTTGCTGTGGGATGGAACGGGCAGGCAGCGTCCGACGCAATTCGTTACCTCCCATGGGATAAATAAAAGCAACCAATGAGAGGCGACGTGAACTCCATACCTTACCCCACTAAAACCTCGAACCCTGCCTGGTCGCCGGCGAGCCCTGTCGGTGTGACGCTCCCACACGACATGGCTGGCGACCAGGGCACGTGTGCTGCGCCGTCTCAGCTCTCGCACATTGCCGCCTCACAGCTTGGCGAGGCACGCCGGTTCTGGGCGGACAAGCAGATACGGACGGCGATGCTGGTGCCGTGGGCCGAGGCGGTGACCGCAGCCTTCACGGGCCCAATATACCCTTTCTTCATGCAAAACCTCGGCCTCGACGCGGGCGGCATGGGCAAGCTGCGCACCGTGCAGCACGCGCTCAACGCGGCGAGCGCGCCCATCGCTGGCTGCCTCCTCGATGCACGCGGCCCCTTTCTTGGCATCGCGCTGCCCGCGTCCCTCTGCGCGATCGGCTGCGCCATCCGATCGATGGCGCAGAGCACGAGCTGGCTCGTCGCCGCCAACGTCTTCTCGGGCCTCAGCGGCGCCAAGACGGAGATGGCGACGGCGCACCTGAGCAGGCACACCGACCCGTCGCGCCGCACGTTGGCGGTGAGCGCGGCGAGGGTGCAGCTGCAGGCGCTGGCTCTGCTGGGCACCCTGCTCTTCACGCCAACCAACTGGGCGCGCGCCGCCGCCACTTTTAGCCCGCCTCTCCGGCCCGCCGTCCAAGGCACCCGGCTCTCCACTACTACCTCCGCGCACGGCTCTCCACCGCCTCCGCGCACCGCCCCCTGGCAGGTGCTGACTGCGCTGCTGCCAGAGAGCACGTGGGGCATGCTGCGCTTCCGGCTGCTGATCAGCCTCTGCGTCTTCGGGTGCGGCTTTGGCGTGATCGTGCTCTGCTGCTCCGCCGGTACGCTCGTCTTTTACTCCTCGGAGGCCGGAGCCGTCTTTCACTCCTCGGAGGCCGGAGCGCTGCAGCCCCGCACGTTGCGGCGGAGCGACGTGGACCTCGGCGCGGCGCGAGGCGCCGAGGTCGGCCGCTGCTGCGGCGACGCGGACGGCTCCGACGCGGCCACGGAGGAGAGCAGCAGCCACGACCCCGAGGGGTATCCCGTCGAGGGCCGCCTCGCGGGCGCCTCAAGCTGCATGTCGTCGCGGCTGCGGACGGTGGGGCTCGCCGCCGCCTCTCGCCGCCGCCGCCCTCGCCGCGGCGCTCAGCCGCCGCCCTTGCCGCTCGCAGGCGCGGCTGGCGCTCTGCCTCGTCGCCCTCTGCCTGGCCGCCGCGACGCGCGACACGCTCGCCGTAGTGTGGCCGCTCTACCTCAAGGCGCACTTTGGCTGGGCGGAGAAGGAGTACGGCCTGCTGCTGCCGCTCCAGCAGGCCGAGCCCCCGAGAGGAAGGAGGGATGTGCGGGCGCAAGGAGCGTGCGCCCAATCTACTCGGCCTTCACCTGCCCCCCGCCTGCAGGCCGCCGCCTTTGGCCTCGTCGCGACGCCGCCGCTGCAGGATGCGCTCGGCTCGCGCGCCTCGCTGCTGCTCGCCGGCTGCGGCGGCGTGGCCTCAGCTCCTAGATGCGGAGCATAGAAACCCCCTGACCTTCACGTCTGGAGGCCGCCATGCCGCCCGAGTACGCGCGCACTCCGGCCGCGGTCCCGCGGCACGCGTCGCGACCGCGCTGCCCCCTTCCGCCTAGCGCAGGCCTGCCACGTGAGCGCCTTGCTGCTTCGCGCGCCGAGCCCAAACACGGAGGGGCTGCACGTGCTGCTGTTCCTCGCCGGAGGGCTGCTCGGCGGCGCGACGGCGCGCGCTGGGCGGGCGCACGGCGTTGAGAGCGGTGGGCGCGGGTTGAAGCGAGTTTGCGGCGTCTCGGCTCCGTAGGAGCTGCTCCTCGTGTCCCTCTCGTCGACCGCGCTGCCTCCCCGCGCGCAAGGCTCGCCTCTCCGCGCGCCACGCCCGAGGACGCGATCTCGGCCACGCTTCCGATCGATTTCGCCGAAGCGTCTGGCGGTAGGCCGTCTCTTTGCGCTCCTCTCGATGACGAAGCTCGGCGGCTCGGTGGGCGGCAGCCTCTACTGCACCGCCCAGTTTCAGGTGTCGCTCGACGCGGCGAGCGGGCCGTACTTCCTGCGCGGCGGCGCGGCGCCCGTCGTCTGGCTCGCCCTCCCCTCGCTCCTCGCCCTCCTCGCCCTGGCTTGCGTCTTGCCGCCGGCCGCGGGCGGGGAGAGGGACGCCTCGGGCTGCGAGGAGGTCTCCGTTGAGGAGGAGAGCAGCAGCAGCATTGAGGCGAGCCCGAGGGTGAAGCGGCACGACCGCTAGAGGGGCAGAATGAAAGTGTGTATTTTGCGCGTTCACTAGCGGCGCGCGGCGTGTGCTTCTGTGCAGTCTCGCTGGGAGCGTCGCTGCGGACGGGCCGGTGTGGAGCCCCAGCGCGCGCGGTTCCGGGACACATCACTCATCAGTGCTACAGTGCAGTGCAACCCGACCCGCACAAGACCGTGCAGGGGGCGTCGCGTCACGCGTGTCGCGTGTGTGCTATCGTCTCGGCCCTGTAAGTAGAGTACGGATGTATTCATCAGTAATCAATACTCCTATGCGATCATATGCAAAAAGGCGCGGGCACATACCGGTCTCGCCGCCGACCGCGCACGCTCCGTCGACCGTCCTCGACGCGAGATTCCCCGCGACCCGATGGTGCCATTAGGAAGAGAAAGAATTCAACGAACAGAACTCTCTCTCTGCGAGCACACGGGTTCGACACAACGCCGCAGTCGAGGAAGAGAAAGAATGTCCGTGTTGCCGACGCGCGCGCGCGTGCGATCCCGATGGTGCCATTCCACCGACCAGTGCGACGGCAAGCACGGCCCTGTGTATCTTGGTGCTCTGCAGAAGCCCGAAAACCTCGAGCGAGCTCAACTCGCACTGCCGAATACGAGCTGGAGGCCAACGAGCCAACGTTGCTGGCGATTGTTGCTTCCGGCCGTGCTTGAGGCGACGCGGCAGCAGAGTGCCTCGGCGGTTTACCAGTTTGGCGTGTACCTCGGAGCTTCAATGTACCTCTATCGGAAGTGGTGGCCCGACTCGAAACTCCTCGCCTTTGACTCCTTTGCTGGCTTGCCGGATGAGCAGCGAGGCGAGGTGCGGAGAGCGACATGGGTGGCAGGCACATTCGGCGTCGATGGGACGGCGGTGATGCAGCGCATCATCAAGGACCTCGGCGCCCACACGCGACTATATCCCGGCTTTTTCAATGTGACGCTGACGCCCGAGCTGGCGACGACGCTGCCGCCGGCAACGCTCGTCGACATCGACTCCGACATCTATCGCTCGGCATACGAAGCGCTCGATTGGATGTTTGCAAACCGCCTGGCGCGCGTCGGCACGATCATTGCCTACGATGACTGGCTAGACTATGCGTGCGCACCAACGCTCGGCGGCGCCGAGTTGCGCGCGCTGCCGAGGCGGGAAGTGGAGGACAGCATGCGCACTGGGTTCATGCCTCCTTCGCGGCGGACCCGCTGGCGTGACTCGAAGATGAGCGTCGCCGTGCGCGCGCGTGCCAAGCAGCGCATCTACCCGCGCCTCCTCGCCGCTGGCGAGCCCAAGGCGCACTCGGAGATTGCAAAGCGCCACAGCGTGCGCTTCCGCTGCCTCGCTGGCTCGTGTCGACCCGCGCGCTTGCCGAAGCCGGCGTGTGACCCGCACCACGCATTCGGCGCCATCTTTGTCGTCGAGGGCGTGGGCGGCGCGTCCGATCACGGCATCGAGATGGGCGACGGCGACGACCTGGACGCCTTTCGGAAGAGCGACGCCGCCTGCAAATGGGTTAGGAATCACCGATTCACCACCAATGCGAGTGATTGGCACCTGCCCGCGACTTGACGCGTTGGCGTATGACTACTACGAAAGTGAATGCATCGCATGTTCCGAGAAGCGAGAACCGAGATCCGTGTCGGTTGCGAGTTTCTTAAATTTTCAAGTCTGTAGTCTCGTGTCTTCGTGGCCCTACAGCTACACACACTTTACACGCTGCAGTCTGAGTCTGACCACTGACGCACGTCCGCTCCACCGCACCTGTAACATCCACGGGAACGCTCAACCGTCTAACAGATCGCCGAGCAGCTCCGCGCCTGGAATCGGCGTCGCGCTCGCACCCGGGCTGAGGAGGTCCATGTCGATGACGCCCGCTCACCACACGTACTCGAGTACGACCAGGACATGCACATGCACGTCCCGCATACAATGGCGAGCATCAGCCTGCGATCCCGTACAGCGGGTTGTTTTGGGAAGGCCCCGTCGTCCCGGGTTCGTAAGCGGGGGCATTGCCGCTCCCCCAGTTCTTGCACGCGGGCGAGTACCTCCCATACGGGCACGGCTGCTGTGGAGCTTCGTACACGACGGTAGTAGGCCGCTGCGACATCGCGGACCCGAGCAGCATGCCGCCCATCATGCCCACAGCCAGCCCGCCGCCGGGCCGCCGGCCAAACCGCCCGAAGCGCCGCTCCGTGACTGTGTCAGCCACCGGCGTGCACTTCTTGCCGGCCCCTGGAATCGACACCATTTCGTCAACAGACTGGCAGACGAGTCCCTGCGCACAGCTCGGGAACGCCTTGCCGGTGGTCTCGTCGAAACCATCGCACGTCTCGCCCTGCTGCGCCAGCCCCTCGGTGGGAAGGTGCGCGGCGCACGCCATTCGGGTGCAGGCCATCCGGCCTTTGTCGCAAAAGCAGCTGTTGCACTCGTTTGCGCCCGTGTCCTTGCCGTGCCAGCCGTCGAGAACTGCCTCGCCGCCGCTGAGCGTGCACGAGCCGGACGTCAGCGAACTGGCGCCCGTGCGCTGAGCGGCGTAGAGAAGGAAGGTCGACACGACGAGAGCTAGCGCCACGGCAGATACTGCCCGGCGCGGCCGGACGCGATGCTCGGGAGGGCCTGGAGCGATCATTGCTGGCCTGTTTCTGCTCTCGCCGCCGCGGCTGAAGAGGAGGCGGCAGGCTCGCACAACCTGTATTTTCTTCTCAGTAACAAGGCCTGTGAACATAGGAGGTATTTTCTTCTCAATAACAAGGCTGTGAACGGGGGAGTGCGTTTATGGAGCTCCGCAACTCGAGATCCCTCGAGAGTTCACGCGGAGTAGGCTGGGGTTACAGTCCTACGTCCGGAGACGAGACACGAACATGCAAAAAAGAATTTTGTGCCGTTTCCGTGCCTTGTCGCGGCTCGACGTCGAGACCGGCTCGTCGTGCAGCGCAGCACTTCAGTGCCAGCATGTGCACAGCCGCCCACTTAATCATGGCGATGGGCTCCGCGGCGTTCTCTCCTGCGGCGCCGCACCCAGCAGCAGCAGCGACGCGTGCCCGCTCCGTCCGCATGGCCGCAGCCGTCGACACCGGCGGCGCTGCGATCGTGGTCAAAGGCGTCGATGTCTGGGCCGGCGACAGCCCTCTCATCCTGGACGTGAACTGGAGCGTGATGCCGAACGAGCGCTGGGCGATTCACGGCACCAACGGTTGCGGGAAGTCGACGCTGCTCCGGGCGATCAGCGCGGCAGCGAATGGCGACGGCGGCGGCCGGCTCGCGGACGGCGGCCAGCTCGTCGTGTCGTCGTCGCTGCGGCTCGGCATGCTGGAACAGACCGCGGTGTCGGGCGCCGACACGACGGTGCGCGAGGAGGTTGTCTCGCGGATGGAGAGGTACCAGGCGGCCAAGGCTGCGCTCGACTCGGCGGTCGAGTCGTGCGTCCTCGGCACCGACGAGGAGCTCGAGTGCCTGGAGGCGGCGCAGTCGGAGTACGCGGCCGCCGGCGGGTACGAGATTGAGGCGCGCATCTCAAAGGTGCTGCAGGGGCTCGGCTTCGAGACGGAGGAGTTTGACGCGCCCTGCTCCTCCTTCTCTGGCGGCTGGCAGATGCGCATCGGCCTCGCGCGGCTGCTGCTCTCCGAGCCGGAGAGTCTCCGACGAGCCCACACCACGGTTCGGGTACACTCCACGACGTTTTTCAGGGCCTGTTCTGTAGGAGCTGCTCATCATGGACGAGCCCACCAATCACCTCGACGCCGCCGCGCGCCGCTGGCTCGGCGATTACGTGGGCGCGTACCAGGGCACGGTGCTCGTTGTCTCCCACGACGCCGAGTTTCTGCGCCGCGCATCCAACAGCATCGCCGAGGTCGCGGGAGGGCGGCTCGAGCTGTACAAGTCGGTGACGTACGACAAGTTCCTGGAGGAGCGCGAGGAGCGGCAGGCGCGCGTGCGGGCGACGGTGGAGGCGCAGGAGCGAGAGCGCAAGCGCATGCAGGACTTCATTGATCGCATGGGCGCAAAGGCGTCCAAGGCGACGCAGGCCAAGGACCGGCAGGGCAAGCTCGAGAGGCTGGCGAAGCAGCAGGCGGCCGCAAAGGCGCTGCTGATTGGCCAGCAGCGCCGCCCTTCGCTCACGCTCGCAGCGCCGCCGCCGTGTGGCATGACGCCGTTGGCGCTGGCCGGCGCCGACATCCGCCACCCGCTCGGGGCGCAGGACATCATCACGGGCGCCGACCTCGCCGTGGCAAAGGGCATGCGGCTGATCTTGCGCGGACCGAACGGCGCCGGTAAGTCGACGATCCTAAAGGCCCTCGCCGGGTCGTTGCGTCTGGGCGAGGGGCAGCGCGTCGCCGACGAGCGGCTCGAGCTGGGCGTGTTTGCGCAGGACCTCGCGCAAGAGCTGCCGCAGGACGTGGTCGCGTTCGAGTACGTCTCGCAGACCGTCCGCCGGACAGACGGCACCGTCACGGACGAGCGGTGCAGGGCCGTCATGGGTGCTCTCGGCCTCGTCGGCGACAAGGCGGCGCGATCGATCGGCGACCTGTCAGGCGGCGAGAAGGCGCGCGTGGCGCTCGCGACATTCTGCCTCACGCCGTGCAACGTCCTCCTCCTCGACGAGCCGACAAACCACCTCGACGTGGACGCGATCGCCGCGCTGCTCGACGCCATCGGCAAGTACAACGGAGCGCTCGTCGTCGTCTCGCACGACCGCGCCTTTTGCGAGGCGATTGACGCCACGCACGTCGGCTATGTCGCCGACGGCAAGGTGCTGGTCGAGGAGCGATCGTTGCGGCAGTCCGACTTCTCAGAGTTGGACCGCGGGGTGGTGAACGTGGCGGGCGCGGTGAGCGCGCCGCCGCCGCCGCCGTCGCTGGCAGAGCCAGAGCGCACGGCGGAGGAGGGCGGGCCGCAGGACTCCGCGCCGAAGCCGCCCGAGAGCCTAGAGGACAAGATTGCGGCGGCGGAAGCGGCGATCGAGGCGCTCGGCGCAGAGCGGGCGAGCTGTGGGGAGGAAGGGGCATTGCTGGCAGAGCTGGAAGAAGAGAAGCGGGGCGCGCTGCAGGCCGAGGTGGAGGCGTGGCGCGCCGAGCTGGAGGAGCGCGCTGCGCAGAGAAAGGCCGCCGAGGAGGCACTCGAAAAGGTATTTAATCGCGGCTTTGAGCCGCCACCGCCGCCGCCGCCCCCTCCTCCTCCGCCGCCTGCTCCTGCGCCGTCGCAGCGGCAGCTAGCCAAGCTGTCCGAGGAGCTCTCCAGAACGGGCAGGGTGAAGAAGAAGGAGAAGGAGAAGAAGAAGAAGTTCGGCAAGCGCGAAAAGGCGGAGTATGCCACCATCGAGGCTGACGTCGCCGAGCTCGAGGCTGCCGCGGCGAAGGCTGAGGCTGAGCTGCAGGAGGTGATTGCCTCGAGGAAGCGGCTTCCTCAGATGCAGCAGTTGGCGCTGGTCAATGCGGCCGCAGCCGCGCGCCGGGCTGCAGATGATAAGATGGACCGATACTTGGAGCTTGAAGAGATGCTCAGAGCTTGCCGAGGAGCGAGGCGCTTGAGCGCGCCAGTCGATATAGCATAACTCATAGCCACTCACAATCCCGCGTCTATGTCTATCGCCGCCAAAAACGATGTTACCCGGTAACAGGTTTGGGGGAGTAACCACTAACATTAGAGTATAAAGTTCTTAGTTGACGCGCCCCGCGTCATCTCCGCCGCCGCTCATCATTTTGACCTCTACGACCCACCGCGCACCAGCCACCGCGCACACAAGACACATTTTCGGCATTCGCGCGCGCGCGCACACACACGCTGGTCGCTCACAACGTCCGCAAAAGACACCGCAGTCCGCACCCCCCCGGGCCGGAAGTGTCTCCCTCAAGGTCGGGTCGCGCCCACGCGCGTCCCGGGGAGCCACCGCGATCGCGCCGTCTCTGTCTTGTGCGCGCTGCGCCTGCGGCCTACGCCGACAGCTGCGGGCACGGTGGCGGCCTCGGCTGCCAGACGTCGGCGAATTGCCAGGCGACAGCGGCGCGCTCGCGATGGCCCTCGGCCTCAGCGCCACGTCCGAGGGCATCGAGCGCATCGGCCGCGCCGGAGAGGGACCATCCGTTCTCCGGGAAGTCGTGCAGGTCGCGGGTAAAGGCGGCGAGGGAGGCGGTCGCGTTCGAGGCGCGCAGCACATACCCGAGGCACTGCCGCGGTGGGTAATACCAGCGCGGCGGCTCCATGTACGGCATCTTGTCCACCGCCGCCACGGCCTTGGCCAGCGCTCCGGCGGCTCTCACGCCGTCGCCCTCGATGCGCCACGCCCGGGCGGCCTCGAGCTCGGCTTGAACCACCTCTGCCCACTCCGACTTTGCGGAGGCGTTGATGGCGCGCGCGGCTTCGGCGTCCGCCCTCTCGGCCGTCCGGCCATCGGCCAGAGCGTACATGGCGAGCGCCCGCGCGAGGCGGAAGGCACCCTCGTTGTACGCTCCCTCGTCGCCCCACGTCCGAGGCACTGCTTCCGAAAGCACCTCCTCCCACCGCGCAAACCGAGCCAGCGTCAACACAGCCTCGGGGGACGAGGGCCCAGCGCAATCGATGCACGCCACCTTGCCCGCAGGCGTCAGCTCCGGCCCAGCCAGCGCCGAGGTGACATTGCGAGCACCCTCCATGGCGATGGCGCTCATGCCCGCGAAGCGCGCAAGCGCCGTGAGCATCTTGAGGTTGTGGCCGTGCGCATAGGGGTGGAGGCAGCGCGACAGGTAGCGCTGGTTGTTGGCTTCGGTGCGAAGAGAGGTGTCGACCCCGGAGGCGTATCGGCCGACGCGAAGGAAGAGATGCGCCGGCATGTGCGTCAGGTGACCTTGCGCCGGGGCGAGCGCCTCGCCGTGGGTCGAGTAGAGGGCCTGTGCAGCTTCGACCGCCTGCCAGCGAAAGGAGGCTGGCGCGTTGGTCGGCTCCATCAGATGGATTAGCAGGTGGATGGTGAAGGCGTGCGGCGTCCCGCCGTCGCCGCCTCGGACGTGGTCGAGCAGCATGGTCTTGATTGGACGCAGTTTCGGCTTGAGTGGAAAGTGGGAGCCGCCGGCCTCGCCCTCGTAGTAATTCCAAGGCGTCGCCGCCATCGCCGCATTCGCGCACATGGCTGCAGTGTCCGCGTCGGTGACGTTCCCGCACAAGGCGTGTGCGTACGCGCTGACGTTGCCTGTCGCCGGCGGCGCTGCCACGAGCGACTGGATGCTCGCGATGAGGTGCTTTGTCTTGCTTGTGAGCAGCGGCTGCTCGGCGGCCAGCCTCGCGGCGTCGCGGACGGCGACGTTGAACGCTGCCTGATCCTCGATGCCGTAGTTGATGTTGGGTGCGAGGCTCTGTGCGATGCCCCAGTGGCACAGTACGCAGTCCGGAGCGAGTGCAGCGGCGGTGCGGAAGCCGCAGAGAGAGATTTTGAGAGAGATTTTTAGCAATACCAAATAGGTAGGTAGGTAGAAAGGTGAAGAACAGCCAGGCTCGGACTGGACACCAAATGTTTTTGTTTGCCGGAAAACCTTGCTCCTTGGAGCACTTGGAGTGCAGTCATCAGCCTCACATCCAGGGCCGAGGAGCTGAGAAGCGCACCCAGCGGGCCGGATGATCGGGATCGGGTTGCGGGCAAGAGAGCCCTAGCCCCGGGGGTGCGCGTTCGCAGGGGAAGGGCCTTAAAGTAAACACACCAAACCTGGGTACATCCCAAACAAGAACGGGCCCTTGGTCTGGGTCTAGTAGTCGAGTAGTCGGACCGACCGAGTGCGTGGTCGCGGTTAGCGGCTTGGTTGGCAGTTGGTTGGCCCTAGGTAGGTAGGTAGAAAGGTGAAGAACAGCCAGGCTCGGACTGGACACTGGCCCTAGGTAGGTAGGTAGTAAGGTGAAGAACAGCCAGGCTCGGACTGGACACCAACGCGGTATGGGTGGACGCTAGACAGATGATGACGACACGCACGAGCGACACACAGACACAAACAAGCTCACAAGACACACAGCCAGCTGGCTGCCACACACCCTGAGTCGGCGTACACATAACTCAGGGCCACATCCTCCCTGTCGCCCCCCCCAGCACTCCACGGTGCCAAGGGCACAAACAAGGGCACAACTCAAACAACAGACGACAGGAAGTGATATGTGAGGCTAGAGCAGTTTGCTCCACCTCTAGCAATCTCACCGGCCGGCAAAGGCACGGACGAGACCATGTGTGGGGTCTAGTGAGGTGTCTATGGACGCGCTCCTCAGAGGCTAGCTGCCTACAGCTAGCCCTTCTCGCACTCACAGGCGATGACAGTCCAATGTATGAGCGTATGCAAGTTGAGGCGCGTGGGCTAAATCTAGGCCGCACGTCGTGGCACTATGACGAAGTAGACGTGCGGCCGCAGCGCGCCCGCCGCAGGCTCGGCGGTGCGCGCGTGTTAGCGACAAAGTTGCGGGTGGAGCCATGCCCGACTTTTCGAAGGTGAGGCCTCTGCGACGAGTGCCAGCCGCGCTGCGGAGCCACGCCCTTCGAGCCGCGTCCCGTCAGCACTGTCCCCGAGTGGTCCCGCCTCAGCGGCACACACTCTCGACCAGGACAGTCCCGCCAACGGAAACGTGTCGCGCGCCGGCGACGATTGCGGCGTGGTCGTTTTGAAGCAAAGATGGCACGACCACCGCCCTGCTTCGCAGACCGGGCAAGGAGGGGCCCGCTCCCGTTCCGCGAGGAACAGGAGGTTTCCCCCCCTCCCCCGGCCTGAGCAGCGGCGGATGGAAGGCAGCCCCGTGAGTCGAGGGCGGCGCGACCATTGCCGAGCTCCAGCGACCAAAGGCCCTCTCTATTTCCAAGCTGGAGAAAAAGAAATTTGTCGGCGTGCAGACGATGCGCGCCTGGACATGCGCTGTGCATCTCACACAGGCAAACAGAATCCGTTGAAACATGTCGGCGAGCATGTTCGCAATGCTCGCCCTGATCGTCACTGCTGCGGCGGCATATGCGCCGTCGACTGGTTACGTGCGGCCTCGGTCGCTTCAGCGTGCAGCGGCAGTGAGGAGAATCCGCATGGACACCACTGTCGACGACAAGCGGCGCGAGGCGGAGCGCCTCGCCCTGCTCGCGGAGCAGGCGGCACTGGAGGCGGAGGAGCTCGAGCGTGAGGCTCAGGCGTTGCGGTCCGAGCGGCCTGATCCACCTCCGGCCCCGCCTACGCCCGCATCGGCCGACGACGACGTGATGGCGCTGCGTGCGCCGCTGCGATGGGTAGGGCCGTATCCTGCGATCGCGCTCTCGTTCCCGTCGCTCATGTCCCCGGCTCAAAAGGCGCGCATGCTCACCTCGGGCGAGGACGCGGCTGCGCCGGCGGGAGTGACGCTCGACTTTGTGCTTGACACGGCCGCCAACACAAACACGATCAACGCGCAGGTCGCGGGGCCAACCTCGCAGGGCGGCCTCGAATTGCAGCAGGTTGGGCGGGTCGACGGCGGCGTCGGCGCCGGCGGCGCAATGTCCGGCGGCGGCGCAACCTACCTGCTGGGCAACGTCGAGCTCGCCGACGTCCCAAAGCCGGAGAGGGTCGTCTTCATGTCGGGCCTCACGGCGTCGGCGCTCCCGGTCGCCGCCCCCGCCGCCGCCGGGCTGCTCGGCCTGTCCTTTCTCAACTCGTTTGCTGGCGGGGTCGAGTTTGTCTGGGGGGGGGCGCCCGCGCCGCTGCAGCAGGAGGCGGGCGGCGGACCGGCCGAGGGTCCCACCATCGCCCTTTACGGCGACGAGGCGGGCACTGCGGCTCTGCGCAGCGGCATGTCTTTCGTGCCCGTCGCCGCGTTGCCGGGCAGTGGGCTGCCGTCGGTTCGTGTGAGCGTCAACGGCGTCGAGATGCCCGCCCTGCTCGACACGGGGTCGCCGATCACCGCGCTCAACGCGGCGGCGGCCGAGTTGGCGGGCGTCGTTTACGACTGGCGGCTGGCGGCGCCCGAGGAGGCGGGGGGAGGCAACCCGTTTGCACGCTTCGGAGCCGCCATCAAGGCGGGCAGGGCGGCGGCGGACGGAACGGTGCTCGTCGTCGGCGGCGCGGCGGGGCCGGTGCGCCTTGTGCGCGCGGAGCGCGGGGCGCGAGTGAGCATGCTGGGCGGCGATGGCGCGCAGGCAGGGCGGGAGGAGGGGGAGGAGGCGCTGCTCGGCGAGGAGTGCGGCGTCTACGTCGGCGACCTGCCCGGCCTGGCGGCCCTCGACGGCCTCGGTGCGGCGGCGGGGCCGGCGGTGGTGCTTGGCACGGACCTGCTGCGCAAGCGGCCGCGCATGTGGTACACGGAGAGCGGAGTGTACGTCTAAAGCATGACCCGTCTCGGGGGAGCAGAACAAGAAAGGCATGTGGGCTGGCAGAGTATGCACTTGGAGCACTTGGAGTGCAGTCATCAATCTCACATCCAGGGCCGGGGAGCTAAGTGAAGGCTGAAGCGCACCCCTGGAGCGAGCGCGCGCAGCGGCGCAGCGCCACCCCCGCCAGCGGGGGGGCCAGATCGGTATCGGGTTGCGGGCTAGAGAGAGCCTAGCCCTGGGGGGTGCGCGTTCGCAGGGAAAGGGCCGTAAAGTAAACACGGCTCTCCGAGAGGGCTCCGTGTACCGGGTTTCCCCTTAACTGCAGAACGCCCCCCCCTCTAGCGGTCTACTCGGAGAGCTATACTGGACACACGGGGACACGAGAGACGACACCACCACACCGCACACGTCACCGGTCACGTGCCATACTTAATGCCATACACGACTTGCCTAATGCCAAGCTGCAGAACATGTGCGAGCCAGCGCCTACGCCGCTCAAGGAGTCAGCGCGCGCGGAGCGCGCCCCGAAGAAAATGTTGAGGGTTGAGGAGGGCTATAGGTGCGATTTCTATTAAGATTTGACTCACACGCAGGAACCACTCGGCCCACCCACAGGCCCAATCTCAAGTGGCGGCGCTCCGCGCCTGTGCAGCGGCGCGCTCCGCGCGTGTTCTGCAGCGGCGCGCTCCGCGCGTGTCTCTGGGCGCTACATGCGGCCGTCGCCGTGCCCTTCATCAACCGTGCGCTCGAGAACTGGGGCGGGCTCAACTGGGAAGACCGCTTTCACCACAACGACAGGTCACATGCACAGAGGGGCGGCATTGGAGCTTGGGTGTGGTCATGAGACGGAAGAAGGCAGAGACACAGCGTCTGCCAGACGCGTGCTACGACGTCAGGCCAGCTTCGAAGCAGCGTGGCCACAACTGACTGCAACAGACTGTCTTCATGTGTCTAGACTCTACCGGTACCGCGGTGCGCTCCGCGCACATAGGTGCCAGCGCGCTCCGCGCGGTATCTAGCCAGCGCGCTCCGCGAGTGTGTCCAGCTAGCGCGCTCCGCGCGTGTGTCCGGGTAGCACCAGCGCGCTCCGCGCGCACGATAATCCAGTGCCTACACTTGTAGGCACTGAAAGCTTGTTTCTGCAGCTTGGGCCTAATGTGCACTTGCCGCCCTCACACCCTCTTGTCCAACAGCTCAACAATGAGCGACCGCCACCGCCACCTCACGAGCTCCACACAGTTTGTGGTGCCATGACTCGCACACTGAATCGGCGATCGCACTTCCGCCTGGCCTACAGGTCCTGGCTTCGGTTTCGCAACAGCTTCGTTTTCACAACACGGCCGCCTCGCGACGCCGCGCCGTCGTGCAGATCGTGCCCGAGCCGTCCACAAGGCCGCCGGCACATGTGCCAATGTGCCCGGAGCGCAGGGAGTCGATGGGTGCCGCAGTCCAAGCGATCACTGCACTGCAGTGCTCGCTCGCACTGCGGCGCTGCGCCACGGTGGCGAAGCATGTCTGGACTTCAAGGACAGTGCTTCTCCGCTGCTCGAGGCTTGCGGCAAGGTCCAGGCCGACCACACGGAGCACCCGAGGCAGCTGGCGTGGCCTCACTCATGACCTGTGCTACCCGTCGGCGGGGCCAGCTGCGGTTTCACAACGCGCCTCATTTTTGACACCCTCCTGCTAGCCGCGCATGAGTAGGGAGACCGTGTGTGGTGTCTTCGCGGCCTAGAGCACCCTCTTGGCAGTCTATATTCCGGATTTTAGCCCTCCTGTCGCATCTGGTGAGCCGTACCAGAGCGAGGACCCAACGTGTTGTGAAACCAAAGCCAGGACCTGTAGGGAGATAGGGATAGGCCCATCGATGTGACCATATCACTATCAAGAAAACGTCTGACTTCACTAGGAGGAGGAGCTCTGTATTCTGCTTTTTCGACACACCCCACAGAAAACATCCGGGCCATGGGACTATCGGTCCAGACGCTCTGGGTTCTGGTTTTTCGAGGTGTGTACGATCTCCCCGGAGAGGGGTCATTCCGGCGGAATGACCCCTCGCGCGCGCGGAGCGTGCGCGTGCGCGGGGCGTGCGCGTGCGCGGGGCGTGCGCGTGCGCGGCCAGGGCGCAGGCAAGTGCCCGAGGGTATTGGGGTGGGCGGCACCCTGGGGCTACCCGTAGCATCGTCGGCTCAGTGATGGGTATCCTTGGTGATGTACCGGCAGAGCCAGGCCAGTGGCGGAGGACACTACATACAAGACGATCGTGCGCTCACCCGACGGCTGGCGCTCGGCGAGTCGAGCCGCTCGCCTGAGGGGAACCACTTTCCGCGGGCAGGGAGGGCGTTCGTTGGTTCCCCGTTGAGGTGGTCTACGAGCGAGCGAGTCGGGTAGAGATTCCATGTCAGACAGTCAGTCAGATTCCATCTTGTGGCGGTGTGGACTGCGATGTGTGTGTGTGTGTTGTGTGTGTGTGTGTGTGTGTGTGTGTGTGTGTGTGTGTGTGTGTGTGTGTGTGTGTGTGTGTGTGTGTGTGTGTGCTCGTATCAGCGATCAAGAGCCTAGCGCAGCGCGAACTCGCCGTCTGAGCCAAGCGCAGCGCGAACTCGCTCCTTCTCGCGCGCTGCCAGCCAGAGAGCCGCCACCATGCCCTCCACGCGCTCCGTCCTCGCCGCTGTGCTCGGACTCGGGCTGGTCTTCCTCTTCCGTGATGCCTTCAGTGTCTCGTCACCGAACACGGCTGGTCACGGCCTCATGGAGAGGGACGTCGACTCGCGGCTCGCTGCATTGGAGAAGGAGACCGAGAGGCTCGTGGGACGTCCACTCGGCAGCCAGCTGCCCGAGCCAGAACGAGCGGCCACCACGAGGCCAGCGGCCATGAGGCAGGAGCTAGCGGTTGCACGGCAGGAGCCAGCGGCCGCCCCGTCAGCAGCAGCGTCCGGAGCTGCTCGTCCGCAGGCGGTTGCCGGCGAGCGAACGCATTGGTACGACGGGGCGTTTCTCGTCGCCAAGCACGAGCCGGCCAGCAATGCGGCCAGCCTTCGGCGGCTGCTCAAGAGCCTGCTCGGCCTCTCGCGCCTGCTCAACCGGACGCTCATCCTGCCCACCTCGCTCTGTGGTGACGGGCAGGCGGCGGAGCCGGCAGACGAGCCGCTTGGCTGCCGCCGCTGCTCGACGCTCGCGCGGGATGCGCTGCCGCTGGACGCGTGGCGGCGAGCCGCCGCGTCGTTTGAGGGAGGCGGCGTGCGGCTCCGCCCGGCCAACTTTCTCTCCGATGCGCGGCTCCCCGAGCGCCTCCGCTCGTCGCACGTAAGGGTGAGGCTGCCGGACGGCGCCTCTGCGATAGAGGCGGCCGCGGCGCTGCGCGACTACGAGACGACGGTCGTGCTGGAGATCGACCGCGCCGCCGAGGCCTTCTGTGGCTGGGAGGCGCGGCACGACACTGGACACGCCGGGGAGGCATTCGAGGCGGCGGTCAGCCCGCTCCTGGGTGGCAGCGGCGCCGCGCAGCTCGCGCATTGCTCCCACTTCCACGCCGGCGCCGTCACCGTGCTGTCGTTTGTGAGCCTCGGCACCTCTGCCGCGCACAACGTGTCTGCTCCGTGGGAGAGCTTGCCGCGCTCGGTTCGCGAGCTACCCCGCGGGTCGGACCTCGCCGTCACCTTTGCCACCGGCAGCGTCTCCACGATGGCGCTCAATTGGGCAAAGGCGACCGTCTCGGCGGGGTTGAGCGACATCCTCCTCGGCGCGCTCGACGAGTCTATGCTCAAGGCGTGCCGCGCCGCAAGGGTGCCGTGCGTGCTCATCCAAGGCGGCGAGGCGTCGGTGGAGCTCGCAAAGGTGAGCGGCAACCTCCGCTCGCGGCCGTCGCTCTACCCAAAGATGAGCGTGCTCAAAGTCGGCTTCTACCGCGAGCTCCTCAGCTTCGGCTTCAACGTCTGGGCGTGCGACGCCGACGCCATCTTCCTCGCGGACCCGCGGCCGCTACTGCGCTCTCCCTCCTTTGCGGGCGCGCACCTCGCCGCCGCGACAGATTGCATCGACGTGGCTCTCGACACGAGGTCCCCGCTCTTGCACTGCGACCTCAACACTGGCCTCGTGTACCTCCGCTCCAGCGCCGAGACCATCGCGTTCGCCGAGGCGTGGCGCGAGACCATCGCGCACGCCAAGGAGGCGCGGATCCGCGACCAGTACGCTTTCAACATGCTGCTCAAGTCGGGCGGCTCGAGTCTGAAGCGCGACGCGGCCGCCAGGCAGGCCGGGCCTCGCATCTTTCGGGCCACTCCGGCCGGCGGCTCGCTCCTGCTGGGCGTGCTGCCGCTCAGCCACTTCCTCAACGGCCACACCTACTTCGTGCAGCACGCGCACACGCTACCCGCCGCGCCGCAGCCTCTCGCCGTCCACCTCACGTACCAGTTTGCCGAGGGGGCGTCGTTTGCGCACGGGAAGCGGCAGCGGCTGCGACAGGCCGGGCTCTGGTTCGTGGACGAGGACGAGTACTACGCGGGACGCTTTGTCCGCGTCGGCGACAGCGCGGCCACTCTCCCGCCGTCGCCGCTGCCGCCCAACGTCACCTCGCTGACAGCGATCAACGCGCACCTCGCGGAGGCGCGCCACCGCAGCCGCGTGCTGCAGGCGCTGCTCGGCATCGGCAAGGCGCTCGGCAGGACCGTCATCCTGCCAAGGATGCTGTGCTACTGCGATTTCATGTGGAAGGAGATGACGCACTGCCGCGTCGGCGGCGCCTTTGGGATGCGCCTCCCGTTCGACTGCCCGATGGACCACGTGTGCGACACGCCAAGATGGATGGAGCAGGGCGTCCCCGGCGTCACGGTGCGAGAGCAGGGCTTCCTCTCCAACCCGCGGGTGCCGCGCAGCGTGAGCGGCTCGGTCCAGCGGGTAGCGCTGCGGCCCGGAATGACCGACGCCGACTTGCGGAGGGAGCTGGGAGCCGAGAGCGCGGCGGTGCTGGAGGTGGCGGACGCGGTTGGCACCTTCTGCGGGTTTGCCGACGCCGGCACCAACCGCTCCTTCGCACAGGCCGTCGGGCGGCTCCTGGCCTACAAGCGCACCCCCTTTTGCTATGACGACGGGCCAGGGCCGAGGGCGCCCGGCTACTCGCAGTGCTGCACCCCACGCAAGCCGGGCGACCCCTTCTTCCCCTGCAAGTACGGCTTCGACCCGCCAGAGCCCTTTCCTGCGTGCGCGCGGAGAGGTAGATGACGGCGTCGAGTATATGAGCCCCTGATCATGAAAGAAAGAAAGAAAGAAAACAGACAACCCAAGGGAGGGATACGGCTCTTATGGGAGGACGGCACGCCGCCACCACACAGGGATTTTAAGGAGAGGTGTGTGATGCGCTAGCCGTCGCCCACCCTAGGGAGTCTGCCTCTTCCTATCTCTCTTCGCAGTCTTTCGCCGCTTCTCGCTCATGAGGAGCCGAGTATTTCTTTTCTCGCGCGAACTCCGGAGGGCTGTGTTGACCAGGCACGATGGGGGACCAGGGTCCGTACCAGGCCGCCCTCAACGGAAGTGAGTCGGTGGTGCTTGAAGCCCTCAAGTCAAAACCTGACCTTCTCAACCAGCAACTGGATAAGGGGATGTACACAGGCTATACACTGCTGCACTGCGCTGCCGCCAAAGGCCACATCTCGCTTGCAAACACCCTGCTAAACAGGGGCGCGTCGACCACCCCGGTCAACCCAAAGGGCAAGACGGCCGCCGACCTTGCCGAGAAAGGGGGCCATGTTGCGCTCGCCTCCCTCCTTCGCAGGCGAGCGACGCGCCCGCCGCCGCCGGCTGCCGCGGCTGCGGCTGAGGCCATGGTTGAGGACACCGTGACGGCGGCAGCGTCGTCGTCCAGGGTGACGAAGGATTGGTCGTGCGGCGGCGGATGGCCGGCAGCAGCGTCTTCACCGGGACCCTCGGCGCCACAACCACCGCCCACCTTTGCGCAGCCACAACCGCAGCAGCCGCACACGCTGCCGCACATGCAACCGCAGTCGCATCAGCCGCCGGTGCAGCAGCAGGTGCAGCCGTACGTGCAGCCGATGCAGCCGCAGATGCAGCAGCCGATGCAGCAGCAGGTGCAGCCGCCGATGCAGCAGCAGGTGCAGCCGTACGTGCAGCCGATGCAGCCGCAGATGCAGCAGCCGATGCAGCAGCAGGTGCAGCCGCCGATGCAGCAGCAGGTGCAGCCGTACCTGCAGCCGATGCAGCCGCAGATGCAGCAGCCGATGCAGCAGCAGGTGCAGCCGCAGGTGCAGCCGCAAATACAGTTTCAGGCTCAACCGCAGCCGCACTACCAGCCGCCACAGGCGTCACCACACGCGCCGCCGCTCGCGCAGCAGCACAGCGCGCCGTTGGTGCCGCTTGCCGCGCAGCCGCAAGCCTTTTCGCCCCCCCAGCAGCACGCGTACGCGCAGCCAGTCGCGCAGCAACAGGCCTACGCACCGCCCGCCGCGACGATGCATTTTGCACCGCCGCAGCAGCCACAGCCAGCGCAGCCACAGCCGACGGCGCCGCAGCCGCCGCCGCCGCCGCAGGCCGGCGCATCACCGGACCTTCATTCGGCTGTGGTGCAGCTGCTGCAGGCGAAGGCGCCCGCCGTGCAGGAGGGAAAGTACCTCGCCGTCGTGCCGAGCGACGCATTCGACCGCGTCATCGGCGCCGAGCCGCCGGGCAGCCGGATCTCGCCGCTTTGCGTCAGCAACGGCGCAAAGGTCGAACTGGACCCCGAGAAAGACTTCTACTCGATGCGTATCTTCGACCCGGACGGTGCTGCAGGAACAGCAAAGCTCGAGGCGATGCTGTGGGAGGTGATCGCGCCGCTCGGTGACTCCGAAGCATGCGGTGCCGGCGTGCCGGTGGCGGAGCCGCTGCGCACGCGGCTGAGCGCCGAGCGGATCGCCGAGGTCAAGTCGGGCTCTGGGGCAGAGGTCGCAAGCGAGCAGGGCGGGCTCTACGTATGGGGATCCTCGTTGTCGGTCCACCTCGCTCTGCTGCTGCTGCTGCGAGATGTGCTCGGCTCGGAGCACGCACGCAAGTACGAGGCTTACGCCGGCACGCTGCATGCGTCGCTCGTGCCCGCGCTCACCGACAAGCTAGCTGGCATACCGCCGGCCTCCGCCGACGCCCGCGCAGCGCGCCCGCGCCTGCTGCTGCAGCGCTCGGCGGCGCAGGAGCGCTCTCCCTTGCTACGCGGCTCGGTGTGGGTAGGGCGAGACAAACTGCAGCCCGCCGCCTCAGCCGCGGGCGCCGCGGCGCAAGGCGCGGCCCCCACCGGCGACTCGCAGCTGCTGCACCTACGGCGCTTCGCCCTCCGCGGCGCTGCGCCAGAGGACGGCGGGCCGCCGCCGCTGCTCTGCGCTGCCGGGGTGCGCGCCGCGGTGGCTGCGCTTGCGCTGCGGCTGGGCGACGGCGCGGTGCGGAAGGGCGAGTTGCAAGCCGCGCTCGCACCGCTCGCGCCGCTCGACGCCGCTGACGTCACCGCGCTCACCGCCGCCGTGGCTTCCTCCCTCCGCGATCGCCTCCTCGGAGGCGTCATCGACGCCGCAGCGCTGCAGACCGCCGAGGTGGCCACGGTGTTGATCGACCGCGCCGCCGCGCCGCGTGCATCACCGGCCAACGGCGCCGCACCCAAACGAGAGCGGCCCGCGCCCATGCTCTCATTTGGACCAGGTGTGGCGGCGGCCGCCGCCAAATTGGCCCATGAGCCCGAGGCGCCGCTCCCCGCGCCGCCCAAGCCTCCGGTCGAGACGGGCGGCCCATACTCCGCGGCGGCCGCCGAAGCGAGCGGCAGTAGCGATAGCAGCGACAGCGAGGACGCCAGCGACGAGCGGCGCAGGCGCAAGCGCAAAGAGAAGAAGGAGAAGAAGAGGAGGCGGCGGGACGAGTCGGACTCGCTCAGCGATGGCCAGTCGGCGGAGGAGAAGAAGCGGAAGCGGGCGAAGAAGGAGCGGAAGCGATCAAAGAAGGAGCGCAAGTCGACGGAGCAGGCCCAGCGCGAGGGGCAGGACTGAGAGCATTGCAGGCTACGGACATACGAAAACACACGCCATGACACACGCACTCCTGACGTAAAGATATGAGTACAGAGGAAACGAAGAGCGTAGCTCAGTAAGAGAAGACTGTACGGATGAGGGACTGTGAAAAGAGTGAAGTGTGTCAGAGTACAGAGACTTACTTTTGAGTGTTGAGAGGCTCTCGGGACTCGGCGGCCTGCAGGGCCCGCGAGGCATAGAGCGGCTCAGCGCTTACGGGAAGAGGCTGAGGTTTGGTTTAGTTGCGATTGAATTGAGCGGACCCAAAGTGCGGGAAGAGCATATGCGCTTCTGGCGGTTGATCATAAGATTGGGTGTTTGCTGGTGGCGCCTCGCTCGCGCTCAAGCCTGCTCCAAACACTTCGTCTGGAGATTCAACTGCGCTCGATTGGCAAGCGGAGGAGCACGACGACAGCTGCGAGAAGGGCGACATCTGAGGCGGCCCAATAAAAGTCGGAGGAAAGGCTGAAAGCAAGGGCGACGGGAACCCCGAGCTGCATTGCGACTGAGGCTGGGATGGGGACGCCTCGGCTGATGGGGAAGCGAGCATGACCGAATGGTTGAAGCTATCTGAGAGATGAGGGCTTGCAAGACTTGGTGCAGCCTTGGCAGTCGAGAGCGAGTTTGTATGGCACTCAAACCGTGGAAGTGCACCGGCGTATGCAGACCCGCCGGATCGCGGAAGGACGGTGAACGTGGACAAAGAAGGTGACGCTGGGCCGGAATTACTAGGAAGAGAGTCCATGCTCGCGAGGCTGCTGCTGCTCCCATTACTACTTGCTGGGCCCACGGCGAGTCGTCTGAGCAGCGGAGATGGCACGCTTGTCAGAGGTGGCGGTCGCGTCGGGACCGTTGGCGACAAAACAGATGGGGAAGACGGACAGCTCGCTGCAGTCGTACCCAGCACCTCCCGTTTCGTGTATCCGGTGAATTCGCAGAACGCGTCGTTCACGTAGACCATTGGCGCGCCAGCCAGAGACATGTCGCTCAGCACGATGCTCGCTGCGCAAGCCTCGGCTACTTGCACGAATGCGGCAAGCCAGCCGGCAACCTCGGAGGGCAGGGAGTACTGCTCCCACAAGTGCTTGTAGGGGTCGGGCATGCCGCCAGACTCGAGCAAGGACAAAACCGCGTCATCAAGTTCCTGAGGGGGTAGGCCCTGGACGAGTCCGAGTTGCGAGATCTCGTCGACAGCCTTTGCAGCGGCGTTGCTGAGATGGCTCATCAGGGATGTCTCCGACAGTGCCATCAGCGAGGGCGCCTCGTGCGGGAGGAGCTGCCTTGCGATGCCTCGAGCCTTTGGGGTCCGCTCGCCTGGCGAGAGATCTCCTGGGACTGACTCGTGCCAAAACGCCCTACCTACCTACCTATCCCCAGGCCGCGCAGCGAAGCGAAAAAAAAGAAAAAAATTGGGGTACCTACCTATTGCAGGGCCCTTTTGGGCCAAACAAGACCAACCTACCTACCTATCTGGGAGGGGCCAGCCAGTCCCGACAGACCCCCTATCCGGGTAGGAGCCGGAACCCTGAGGTACGCTCGAGCGGTAATATTTGTTTCGCCGCGCGGACCTTCTTCTCTGCGCTTCTTCCTTCTACTCGCCTATCGCCACAATCGCCGCAAGCTTTTAACACGCGGCTGAGAAGTGATAAACAACCCGATGTGCACAATGTCTCATGTGCAGGTGCCATCGTGCATCGATGCACGATGGTGCGGGGTTCGAGCTCTTTTCGCGCGAGGTCGCCTGCCGGCCGTCTGTGGTCCACGAGATAAACTGAGGTCGGCAAATGCTCTCCAACGCACACACACCGTTCATCTCGCGGGTCACGCCTCCTCGCCCGCAGCAATACACCTCATTAGTCTCTCCTCGCAAGCGGCCACACCCTGGCCACGCAGCCTCACGCGGTTCCGCCCAGGGATGCCCTCGGCGTCCGGGTGGCTACGCACGCCCTCCAGTACGTCGACCTCGCGCAGGAGCTGCACGACGGGGTGGGGCGACCGAATGGTGAAGTCGCCTGCGTCGGCCGGGCCGCCCGCTTCGGCATAGGTGCTGTGTGTCGCCGCCGGATGAAAAAGGACGATCTGGAGGTGCTCGGCGTGGCCCCTGTCGACGATGACCTCCGCCTGGAGCTTCCAGCTAAGCGCGATCAGCTCCCGCCACCCGAGAGCGCCGTTGTCTAGCGTCCCGCCCAGAACAAGCAGCGATGTCTCAGGAGAGCCCTCGGTACCGGGCGAGTCGAGCCCCAACCTCAGCGCGGCGGCCTCCTCGTCCAGCTCCGCGGCGACCCCGCAAGAGCATTCGGCGACGGAGGCGCGGAGCCGAAGGGCGGGCGGCTGGCGCACGGGCGGCGCGAACGGGCAGAGGCGTTGGCCGATGACGATCGAGTCGAGCCAGCGGCGCGTGTCTGCCAGCCGCCGCGCGAGCTTCGACATGTGTGCGGTCGAGCTTCCTTGGTGTCGCGGCTCTTTTCGCTTGCTATCGCCTCGTTGCGAGGCCTTGGGCGGTGTGGGTGCCGTGTGCGGCGTCGCGGCAGTCCCTTTTCGTTTTGAGCTTAGCCTTCGATGTTACTTTCTCTCTCTCTCTAGATGTGATCTGTGATCTGTGAGGGTCCGCCCGCAGGCGCATTTTGTATACCGAGGCGGTGCCCGGTGCCGAACCTGTCGGACCTTAAGACAGCATTGTAGATCCCTGGGCGAGGGTGGTGGCGTCCCCGTCGGGTCAGGGCTGAAGGCGGGGGAGACCAACCCGATCTCTCCGGCGTCCCGGGAGCGTGATTGACACCTCCCCCCGTGCCAACAGCCCCATGGAGGTAGGCCGCTCGTCTAGCCAATCAGCCTTAAGCGAGCGGCCTGGCCGTTGGAATGGCCGAGAGTGTCGGCCGGCCGTTCGGTCTCTTCCCCGGGGGTGCCCCCCTGGTTTTTCTTGCCTGACTGACCGAGGCGGGTGGTGATAGCCGCTCACTGCGCGGCGGGAGGGGCGCTTGGACAAGGGGCTGGCGCGCCGACCGGTGCGCCACCGCCTCGCCGCCCGCCACCCCACTCGACTCCGCGGCGTCCCCACCGGTGAGCCCGCGGCCGCTCCCCCAGGCGCAGCGCGTCAGCATGGAGGAGCAACTGCTAAATTTCGCCGTACCACTCGACCTGAATGTGCTCGAGCAGGTCGTGCAGATGGTGTACACCGGGACGCCGCAGCAGGCGCGCGCACTCCCACCACACGCAGCCGAGCTCGCGCCCCCCGCTCGCCCCCTCTCCCCCCCTCGGCCTCGGCCGCGCACGCATCCTTGGCGGAGGCCGAATCCACGCTCGGCGCGGGGGCAGCCTGAGCGTCCGCGTCGTCCGCTGTTCGCGCGCGGAGCCAGCCATGCCGACATGCCTCGTGGCGTGCTCGTCGCTGCCGCGTGACACCCGCCCCGATACCTCCGCCTGCAGATGCAATCCGCGCAGCGGACGCTCTCGCAGCTGCAGGAGCGGATAGCGGGCGAGGACGCGGCGGGCGCGCTCAACTGGTTCAGAGTGGACCAGATCCTCGACGCGAGCGCGCCATGCACGGCGAATACGCGCTTCTACGCCCTGCAGATCCTCGACGGCGCGATCAAGTACCGCTGGAAGACGCTGCCGCCGCCGCAGCAGGCGCGGGGAGGGAGGGTGTGTGAGTGGGGGGGGGGGGTGGGGGGGGGCGTCCGTCACTGCTGCGGGGGGCGGGCCGCAGTGCGGCAAGGGGAGAGAGGGAGGAGGCGCGCCGCCGCGGCGGCCGCCTCTGGCGATGCTGCGACCTCTCGTGGACACAGCACGCTTGCCGCCGCGCCGCCGACCTGCCGCAACCCACCAGGCCGCACCTCACCCCTTTCCCGGACGACGGCAGAATGGCATCAAGAACTTCATCGTCAACTTGGTCATTCAGAAGTCGTCCGACGAGGCGACGTTCCGCGCCGAGAGGGTGCGCTCGACTCCCTCCCCCTGCCGGCCCCCTCTCCGCCTCGCCGAGCTCTCGCCTCTCGCCTCGCCACCTCTCGCCTCGCCTAGCGCAGTTGGTCGCGCCTGCACACTGACCCTCCGCGCCCTTGCCCACCACCGCCCGCCCCTCGCCCCCCCCTCGCCAGGTCTTCATGACCAAGCTCAACGTCATCCTCGTCCAGATCGTCAAGCAGGAGTGGCCGCACAACTGGCCGTCCTTCATCCAAGACATTGTCAACGCGTCGAAGGTGCGGCGCTCCGCCGTCGCCGAGCGCCGCAGCCCCGCCCGGCAGTCCCACGGCGCGCGGCGCGCCGCAGCGCCGACCGACCTGCCCGCGCCGCCCCGCAGACCAACGAGACATTGTGCGAGAACAACATGGTTGTGCTCAAGCTGCTGTCGGAGGAGGTGTTTGACTTTTCGCGCGACGAGATGACGTCGGTCAAGGCAAAGAAGCTCAAGGAGTCGTTCAACGCCGACTTCTCGCTCATCTTCCAGCTGTGCGAGTACATCATGGCGAACAGCGCGAAGCCGTCACTGCTGGTCCGCCCCCAACCACTGCCCCCCTCCACCCCCCTGGCCTGCTCTCTGACGCGCCCCCCGTGCGGCAAAACAGGTCTGCACCTTTCAGACGCTGCTCAAGTTCCTCAACTGGATCCCGCTCGGCTACATCTTCGAGACGCAGCTCGTAAAGACGCTGGTCTACAAGTTCCTGCCCAACGCGGCCTTCCGCAACGACGTGCTCGCCTGCCTGACGGAGGTTGGCTCACTCGACATCGGGACCATCTACGAGTCGCTCACCGGCGAGATTGGCGCCGCGTATGACTCGCACTTCGAGGCGCTCTTCACGCAGGTGGCGACCGCCATCCTGCGCGGCGACGGACAGGGCCCGCCGATGGTGAACGCCGACCTAGACATGGCGCAGGTCTGGGCGAGCGGCACCGACCACGACCAAACCTTCATCCAGAACTTGGCGCGCCGCCGCCGCCGCCGCCGCCGCCGCCGCCGCCGCCGCCGCTGCCGCGCCCCCGGCCGTGGCATGGGGCGCTGAGCCAGCCAGCCTCTGAGCACGCCGCCCGCCTGCCGTGGTCAGGCCCTCTTCTTCTCCTGCTTTTTCCGTCAGCACCTGCAGATCGCAGAGCGGACCGCGCAGGCGGACCCGACGCTGCTGCAGGCGGCCCCCCGCCCCGCAAACGACAGCCCGCCAAGAGACGCGCCGCGAGAGCGAGAGCTCTCTGGGGCCGTCCGCACCCCCTCCCCTCCCCCCCCTCCCCAAACTCCACCCACCCACCACCACCACCGACCGGCGCCGCGCCCCCCTCCAGGCGGCCCTCTCGCTGATCGTCTCCATCTCGCACGTCGACGACCAGGAGACCTTCAAGATCTGCCTCGAGTATTGGAACGGGCTGACCTCGGACCTATACCACACCGAGTGCCAGTTCCAGCCGCCGCCGCAGTCGCCGCTGGTGCTCGCGCCGGCGGCGCTCTCGCCCGCCGCGTCGCCGCGGCTGCAGCTGTACGCGCCGATCCTGACCAAGCTGAGACAGCTCATGGTCTCGCGGATGGCGAAGCCGGAGGAAGTGCTCATCGTGGAGGACGAGAACGGCGAGATTGTGCGCGAGACGATGAAGGACAGCGACGCGATCACGCTGTACAAGACCATGCGCGAGACGCTGGTCTACCTGACGCACCTCAACTACGACGACACCGAGAACATCATGCTCGACAAGCTGCAGTACCAGGTCGACGGCTCGCAGTGGTCGTGGCACAACCTCAACACGCTCTGCTGGGCGATCGGCTCCATCTCGGGCGCCATGTCGGAGGAGGACGAGAAGCGCTTCCTCGTCACCGTCATCAAGGACCTGCTCGGCCTGTGCGAGATGAAGCGGGGCAAGGACAACAAGGCCGTCGTCGCCTCCAACATCATGTACGTCGTCGGCCAGTACCCTCGCTTCCTGCGCGCGCACTGGAAGTTCCTCAAGACGGTCGTCAACAAGCTCTTCGAGTTCATGCACGAGCTGCACCCGGGCGTGCAGGACATGGCGTGCGACACCTTCCTCAAGATCTCGCAAAAGTGCCGCCGCAAGTTCGTCATCCTGCAGGTGGGCGAGGCCATGCCCTTCATCGACGAGCTCACGCTCAACCTGCGCTCGGTCATCTCTGACCTCGAGCCGGGGCAGGTGCACGTCTTTTACGAGGCGGTGGGGTACATGGTTGCGGCGCAGTCGGACGCGCCGACGCGGGACGCGCTGCTGATGAAGCTCATGGAGTGGCCCAACCAGATGTGGGTCGACATCCTCGCGCAGGCAGCCGCGCCCGCCCGACCGACCGCCCTCCCCCCGCTCCCCCGCCCCGGCCGCTCCCCCGCCCCGGCCGCTCCCCCGCCCCGAATGGCCCTCCCTCGCCCTCGCCTCGCCCGCGCCCGGCTCACCCGCATCCCCCCACCCCCAGTCCGCGCGCCGCGCAGGCCAAGCAGACGAACGGGGAGAACCGCAAGAGCCCCCTCGATTTAGTATAGAAAAAGAACATCGTGCGTACCAACGAGCGGGTGGCGGTTGCACTGGGGCACCCCTACAGCGTGCAGCTGGGCCATATCTACGTCGACCTCCTCAACGTCTACAAGACGTACTCGGAGCTCATCAACTCGACCATGAG